GGCCGGCACCCGGTGGTGGACTGGGTCGGGGTAGAGCTCATGGAAAACACGGTTTACTTAGTGACGAGAATTGAGTGGCGTGCGGATGAGAACGGTTAATGGAACCCGGACCCACGGGGACATGTGCGTGCGGAGGGTCGGTTGCATGTGTCTGAAGACGGGTGACGGGCGTTCGGAGTCCTGTTGGCATCAGGGGAAGATCCGTTAAGTATGTTCGAGGGAGCATGGTAACTAGTGTGGCAGGCGGGGTTCAAATTCGCCGACCCGGAACTTTATGACGTGACAGCTAACCTTAGGGTAGCCATGGCCGGAAGCTTCGAGCTGCCCAGTGAAAACGTTCGTATGAGATTGCCGCAATTTTTGCTAGAGAGGTTAGGCGGGGTGGAGCTTGTCAGGAGAGCTGTAACTGACCTCGCCAACCTGGACGCGATGGTTCACCGAGAGTATTACCGGGTCTTTCTAGAAATGAGGTCATTCAGCAGCGAACAGAGGTATGAGGTGTTGCGGATCCTGCATGTTGTGTTTACCACCAGGCCAAGAGCTCCGGTTGTTAGCGATGAGGTCCTATGGGGCGTTGTTCGACGAGAGATAAGCCGGGGAATGACTTACGTAGATGACCTGTACTGCTTGTATGAGCCAATGGAAGAAAAGACAGGCCGGTAGGAGAGGCAAGAAAAAAAAGAGGGGATAAAAAGGGGGAAGGATATCGAAATTAAGGACCGGGGAGTTGCCCGGGTAAGGCTGAAGAATGGATGAAAATAAGCACACTCGCTTGCTGTGTAAACTGTATAGGGGACCACTAATCAACAAATGGTGATGAGACGCGCACGGATGTCGCGACGGCCCACGCACCCTTGGCCACCCACGAAAAGTGGAGGTGGATGGGAGGTATCGCTCCCAGCGAGCTACATGGTCCGAGGAATTGACACCGAATGGAGAGTCGTGACCTTGGGAAGGGACCAGGCGTTCATGATTGTAGAATGTCTGTGGAACGGGATGAGGTTCGATAGGGGACCAGGGGACGACCTATCTACCACTTTGAGGGTGACTGAAATCGTATACCTACCAGAGCTTGGATGACACATGTTAGGGACGAAACTTGCTCTAGGACATGGGCTGTTACCAATCTTCCAAAGGACTACTAGGATAGTGGACCGGATAGGCCAGGAGGTGCGAGGAAGAAGGAACGTGGGGCTGAGAACCCGGGTGGAGGTAGGAGGATGGCGAGAGTTTAAGGCCCCGATGACGGGACTGCGGTGCCGAGTGCCTCGCTTCATGGTGGACTTGGTATTTGCCAGCCTCTCAAGGGCAAGAAGCCTGGTGGAGTCGACTTTAGTCTGGAACCACTACTTTTGTCCGCAGACGACGGGGATGTTTTACGATGTGCCTGTTAGGCACGGACCGTTTTGGGGAAACCAGGCCCGTGAACTACTCGAACTCATCGAAATCCTGATATTCGGGTTACCACGCATGGCGTTTGAGGATTACGAACCAATAATTATCAGAGAAATAGAAATGGGATAAAACTATCTTGCAGGGGTGACCGATCTGTTTGAAGGACCAGATGAGCGAGACAGACCTGAGGGACCGGCGTGAGGAAAAAGTACCGGGGAAAAAGTAAGAGGTCGAAAACCGGAATGAGAAGCTGGCCGTTAGCAAGGGAGTAGTGGTCGGAGTACCGCCCTACCTGAGGTCGTGGCAGGAGGGAACTAGGAAGACCACCCTCGTTGAAGGACGCTGGGGCACCCAGATGTCAGGAAGTCAAAAGGGCTACCCTCGAGGGGAGAGCCACTAGCCTCAGACACCGCCTTCAGGAACCGGGGCACGACAGTGACGAAACGCCAAACCTCGGCAGCGAGCCTTCCGACAGAAGAAAGACAGAACGGCGCCCTGTAGAAAATTGTTAGGTATGTCGTCCCGACAAAAATAAGACGGCAAAATGTGAAAATAAGTAAGAATAAGGGAACCTTAGGGCCCGGGAACTAGGGAAGCCATGAACAACCGGCCGTTTCGCAATTTTTTTTATTTTATTTTTTCCATGTGCAGGGTAGGTAAAGGGATGGCGTCAGAAGAGGAGGCCGAAGGGTTGCGAAAAAAGGGGAGTCAGGGCACAGATAAGGGTGTGGAACGGAATGAAGGGTCGATAAGGGACCGAGAGTCGACAAAGCCAGAAGGGACCAGGGAGGATGGGAAGGACCCTTCGACGGGGGAAAGTTCCGGGAAAGCTAGGGGTGGCAAGAGAGGGCCCCAGGAAAATAAGGGAGGAAGGGACCACGGCAAGACGAGTCCTCGGAACTTGGAGGGGACCACACCCAAGAAAACGAAAGTCTCGGACGCACGTCGTAAGCTGGCAGAAATAGAAAAGCGAACCGCAGAATATAAGGCAAGGCTTATTGAAGAGATGATGGCAGGGAACGAAGGAGACCTTCTGGGGGAAGGGTCACGAGAAGAACCCAGGGCCAGTCAGGGCGAAGTTCGGCACGGAGGAAAGGACAATATCCTTAGGGGAACACCCGGTAACAAGGGAAAGGAAAAGGGGGACTCCCCGACTGTAGAAGCAGAAAAGGTTACGACCCCACCCGCTATAAACAGTGGTGCTAGCCGTTTGCCCGCCACACCGAAAGTAACCAAGAGGTGCGACGGACTTTGGAGTCTCAGAGAAAGGGTGTTACGATGGTTTAATCCGAAGGACACGCCAAAGGTCGGGGAAAAGCAGAGGGATAGTAAGGAAGGAGAAGGGACCAGTGCGGCCAAGGAAGCGGGGAGCTCTGAAGGGGGCCTCAAGAAGATAGTAGCCACCCTCACTCGGGCGCTGAATAAAAATCAGGGATATCTTGCGGATGCCAAGAAGAAACTTACTTTCGATGGGGCAAATATTACAGAGTTCCTGATAGACTACGAGAACATGACAGCCTTGCTGAAATGGACTGAAGAAAAAAAGATGGACCACTTAGGGCAACATGTGTCGCTAAGCTTAGGAAGAGACATTATGGCTATTGTCGCCTCTAGTGGATCCTGGAAAGAGACCCGGAACGAGATGATGAGGAAGTACCTGAAGGCAGAGAAAATGGCAACAGAAGCTGAATTGGCGGCAGTCCAAAGGAAGAACTATGCGACTTACAACGACTTCCTAAGGGCGTTCACTCTAGCAGCACTACGAATCCTCAGGGTAACGGACCGTATAATGAGTAAGTACTTCCTCAGGCAGTTCTCCGAGTTCGACAAGGATAAGATATTGTCGGCCTACCAGCAGACTAGTAAGTTCGAGTACACAAGGGATGTGGATTTCAGCACGGTAACAGACCTCACAGAAAAGACAGTAGTGACTGAGACACTAACTCTCTTTAAAGAAGGAGAGGTTATAGATCTGACCGGGAAAACGGGGGATAAGGTGAAGAAGGGGATAAAAAACCTGCATGAACGAGTGCACGGGGCCGATAGCAAGATAGAAAGAGTGGAAAATGCGCTATTAGTAATGCAGGCGCAGGTGGCCCGACTCGCCCTCCCGCCCCAAGAGGCCGTAGTTCCGGCAGCAGTAGCAAATCGGGGGTATGGTAGGAAGGATCCGGCTAACGAGCAGTGCAGGTATTGCACAATGGTCGGACATTTCGTGCGGACCTGCCCAAGACGCAACCATGATATCATGAGGCAGAGATGCAACAGATCCCTCAAAGGTGAAATTTTCGGGCCTCAGGGAGAGCGCATAAACTGAAATTCCCCATGAGGGATGCGGCGTGCCGTCAACCTCCTGAATAATTTGGACATAGCTGTCGTAGAAGTAGACCGGTAGCTGACATTGTCTGGGACCAACCGAGGGGATGCGGACCACAAGCCAATTTCATCCTAGAAGGTAATGAGCAGGATAGGGTGAATATCACCACCTGGCGGGCAGGCGCGGAAAAGAAACTTATTCAAGATTCATTAATGGAAGAGGTCGCGGGGACTCGTGCAGATCAAGGTGAGACCAAGACCGGGGAACAGGAAAAGGTTTATGGGAAGATAAGGGAAGAGGAGCCAATAGACAAAGCCACGGCGGCAAAGAAGAAATTCGAGTGCCAGATTCCGATCCTGATTATGCCAGAAATCGACGACACCCTGAGCAAACTCCTGGGTACCATGGTATCTGTATCGTTTCAAACCATGCTGCAAGCAAGCCCGAGATTGCTTAAAGGTCTCAGGCAATTGTTAACGCGCCGACGCGTAGAGGTAGAGGAGGCATCGGAACCACAAGAACAGGAAATGGAGGAGGCGGAGTTGTCTGTCAATGACGTTGCGAATGCCCCCAGCAATAGTGCTAACACCCCCGTTGAAGTTTAAGTCCAACTTTCGAAAAATTGTCGGGCTGTAGGAGAGGGATTGAAAATAGGAGACTCTTTTCGACAAGAAAGAAAGTAAGTTGAATTTGAAGGCGAAAACGTTGTCGGAGCAGGTAGTAGTAAGAAAACTAAGGGAAAACGTAGAGTCTAAAGCGAGTCATCCTTCCTTCCATTGTATGGCATGCAGTTGATACGATATGGACATCGCAAACAACTGGAAGGGCCGAAGAAATAAACGGGACCGGATAGGCAACATGGATGGTTGGAATCCGGGGGAAACAAGACGGTAGCATAAATACCAATCGACGGTTCAACAACGAGGGGGTCAAAGTCTACGCGACAAGGATTTTGGAAAAAGGGGGTCATATGGGGAGAAGGTCTGTAGGATCTCAGGGAATGAGGCCATTCGTCTTTGGAAATACGGAAGAGTCACAAATCTCGCAGGGTGGATTGACGAAGAAAAGAAAGGTGGCGGATACCCTACGAAGACTTAAGGAAGTGGAGTAGATAATAGCAACCTACAAGGCTAGTGTAATTGAAGAAATGATAAAGGACATTGAGGTTGAGGATGACGATAAGCTATATAATGATTAGTGGCAAGGTGAGATGCAACAAGAGTGCATGATTGGGAAGCCCGGCGAATGGAGGATAGGCGGAAACGCGGGGGAAAAAGAGGGGGTGCGACCTTCCTAGGTAGGGATCACGAAGGAAATAAGGAAGCCAGGAGCGGACCATGGAGTGAGTCAACACACAGGGGGACAATCCTTATCGAATGAAGACCATAGTGAGTTGTGGAATCTAAGGGAGAGACTGACAGTCTGGCTCCACCAGGAGGAGGGTGTTAGAAACGAGAGCCGTCAGCAAAACGACGACGGGTCTGAGTTCCTAGAAACAACCAGGTGCGAAGTAAAAAAGGGACCGATTGGCATGATCAAGGTGAATGGGCGGACAACCAGAGAGAATGGATAGGGGATACCCCCCGGGTGGTGCACGCCCGGGTACCTCGAACTCCGTTGGTACCCCAAAAAGCTCTAGCTCCAAGACCCGAACACCGGACCGGTCAGAAAGATCCTTCGAAGGAATCATGTTGATATTGCACCTTGATAGGACACTTCGTTAGGCTTTGTCCGAAGCTTAACCGTGACATCATAGGAGGGCGGTATTCTAGGACCCTCAAGGGACAGATCCTGAGTCCTAACGGAGAAAGGGTTGACTGGAATTCACACGGGGGGATGAGACGTGTTATAGCGATATTAAATAACCTAGACTTTTTGGTAATAGAGAAAGAGGAAGTAGGCGAGCTTTGCTGAGGGCCCACATGTAACCACGAGAAAAAGCGGAGTCGTGGGTAGGACGGGGGCGCCGCTTGAGAAAGGAAGGAGGGACGCGACCGGACCTCAACAGCAAGAGGGCACCCAAACGAGCAATGCGACATGAGGACCAGAGGTTGTGAGGGCGAGGGTGGTCGAGGACGAGAAGTGGGAAAAAAAAAAAAAAGGGG